TTGGTATCAGTGGGAGGAATAGTTCCTCATCATTGGTATCAGTGGGAGGAATAGTGTCCCATCATTGGTATCAGTGGGAGGAATAGTGCCCCATCATTGGTGTCAGTGGGAGAAATAGTGCCCCAATGTTGGTATCAATGGGAGGAATAGTGCCCCAATGTTGGTATCAGTGGGAGGAATAGTGTCCCATCATTGGTATCAGTGGGAGGAATAGTGCCCCATCATTGGTGTCAGTGGGAGAAATAGTGCCCCAATGTTGGTATCAATGGGAGGAATAGTGCCCCAATGTTGGTATCAGTGGGAGGAATAGTGCCCCATCATTGGTATCAGTGGGAGGAATAGTGCCCCATCATTGGTATCAGTGGGAGGAATAGTGCCCCATCATTGGTATCAGTGGGAGGAATAGTGCCCCATCATTGGTATCAGTGGGAGGAATAATGCCCCATCATTGGTATCAGTGGGAGGAATAGTGCCCCATCATTGGTATCAGTGGGAGGAATAGTGCCCCATCATTGGTGTCAGTGGGAGGAATAGTGCCCCATCATTGGTATCAGTGGAAGGAATAGTGCCCCATCATTGGTATCAGTGGGAGGAATAGTGCCCCATCATTGGTATCAGTGGGAGGAATAGTGCCCCATTGTTGGTATCAGTGGGAGGAATAGTGCCCCAACATTTGTATCAGTGGGAGGAATAGTGCCCCATCATTGGTATCAGTGGGAGGAATAGTGCCCCATCATTGGTATCAGTGGGAGGAATAGCGCCCCATCATTGGTATCAGTGGGAGGAATAGTGCCCCAACGTTTCTATCAGTGGGAGGAATAGTGTTCAAGAGCTAGATAAAGGCTAGCAAAGGGCCGCATCTGGCCCTTGGGCCGCAGTTTGGAGACCCCTGATCTAGATGCTTGGTACTGGATACTGAGCTATTATGGTCCATAATCGCATGGTTTGAAAAGCTCATTGGCTCCACTGAGGCAACTCTCAAGTGCTAGGGGCCACGTCAGGCACCCTGGGTAGAGATCCCATGATGAAGAAAGTATGACAAAGTCACACCTGGTCATAATGCCCCAAAACACGGTCTATTTCATAATCAAGCTGACATGGAGTGAAACTGCCAACATGTTTCAGTTATTAATCAGTTCCCCTTCATCGGGATCATAGATGTTCCAGGTGCATAGAAGCAGAACTGCTGTGAGAAACCACAGGGCCCCATACAACCAACCTGACAGACTACCAAAGACAGTTTTCTATGCTTTAGTTATGAATGAACATAGTGAGTGATTTGTACCAGTACCCATTGTGTTCATTCAGGAAAGGAAGGCAGCTGCCCATGGGAAGGAGGGGAGGGAAGCTAGCAGCACTGTGGGGGCACACAGGGGGGCCTGGGCAGCGGGGGAAATGTATGGTGCACAGGGAGGGTGATGGGTGCAGGGGAGGGGGAGATTACTAGAACTGATCCCTTGTATGGCTCTCTCTGCAGCATCTGAAAGCCAGCAGGGGGAGAGGAGAAGAAGCTAGCTTTCAGCTGCTGCAGAGAGACATCCAGGGGATCGCTTCCAGTAATTTCCCCTTCCCCACACCGTGCCAATCACCCTCCTTGCCCACATCTGATTCACCCAGCTGCCTGGGCCCCGTACAGGAAGACTGGATGTACCCCCTTATCGACAGCCCTGCATAAAAGGCTGGACTCTTAACCCATCATATATGTTTTCTGGTTTCCCTATAAGAAAAAATTGCATTTGCTTGCTTGAGATGACTGCAATCATTTAGATCAATGCTTCTCAACCAGGGGCGCACTGACAACTCATGGAGCCCCCGGGCAATAGGGATCATGGGGTCCCTGTGTCCTTGCCCAAGCTCAAAAAAGCCTATGAAAAAGGTACCAGGGGCATCTCATGGGGCCCCCCACTGACCCCGGGCCCTCGGGCAGTGCCGAGTTTCCAAATGATCAGTCCGCCCCCGTTTTCAACTTTACTTCCGGGGTCCCAAAGAGGAGGTTTTTACAGCTCGGCCATTGTTATTTAGTCCTGAGCTCAGGCCACCCTGTTCACACAAATGACCAGATCACTCTCACTGTCAGTAGCTGACTGTTTCCTCTTCCTTTTCTGGACTCTAAGACAATTGGGTTGGGCCTTACCAAACCAACATCCTGGCAATCAGGGTTTTGGAGTTTATTCCCACCCAAAACTTTTTGAAACTTTGGTTTCCTCAAAAGAACTTAGCAATCCAGAGAGTTCTAAAAACCACTCCTCTCTGCTCCAGCCAGACTACCCCAGCACTCCTTCCCCTGCATGGGTGAGAAACCTTGAGTACGTCTAGGACATACTTGCAGTGTCGTGTACAACATGTATATCCACAATAAATGCATAGAAATACAAACTACGTATTGAAATTCTTGAGGGCTCTGGGAGGGGCTGGGTGTTGCTGTATGGTGATGGCGGTTAGGGGAATCTGAAGCAAATTTGATGGCCCTTTAGGGTGTGAGGTATCTGGAAAGAGCTGGGGGTAACCATAGAGGTTGGAGTTTCTAGAAGAGGCTGGAGGTCTTTCCAGGAGGCTGCTGGTTTCTAGGGGAAATGTGTGAGACTGGAATGCCCCCCAGGACACTCTTGGAAGCTCTGTAAAAAGCTACGGGGCACCACAGGGGGCTGGAGGCTCCCTCAGGGGGCCTGGGCAAAGTAGGAAGGAAGGAGCACCCAGTGTCCAAAGAAATACAAGTTTAATGGTAGATTAAAATATATTTTTTGGAAGTGACACACAAGCACATCAAGTACCTACGTTTTGGGGGAAAGAACTCATCCTTCTTCAGGGCTATCAATTTCTGTCAGCTTTAAATGGGAAAAGTACCTGGATGTGTGAGGTTTCGGAGAACAAACTGGCAAAATGGCAGCTGTGGTTGCTGGGGCAGTATCTCACACAACCCTCTAGGAGGAACTCTTCCTACCTACCCACACTACCACCCATCTACAACTAGCAACTGATCTAGTCAGTCCAGCGTGGTCTTCAGCACAAATCAGGGGGCCTGGAGGTTGGGTAGCCCCATGGGAGCTGGGAGGCATTGTGAGATGTTAGGGTCTCAGCAGCTGGCTGGAGGCCTGGGACAAGGAAAGCCATGGCCCAGTGGTTAAGAGCCACTGCTGTAAATTCTACCTGCCATGTACAGTTTGCATTTCTTCCTATTGCTGGCATTTTTCCAAAAATACTGCAGGCTATGATTTCCAGCAAGCAGGCATTTGGCTGGATAGCCGCTCATTCAATTTTTTACCAAATCTTTTAAAGAATGTGCAGTATGCTACATTGAGATAAATGTCTGAGTATTTGTTACATATTTATCCATGAACATAATTAATATCTTATTTACATATTGCTAATGTGTGTGGCCCTTCAGCAGAGGGGGGGGGCATCAGTGAGGCGCCGAACAGGATAAAGAGATCTGCGCAGGACAGGGATGAGTTATTAGCCGGCTTAGCATGTACATGATCTTTAATGCATGTGACATTTCCCAAGTAACACATTCATTATAGACTCGTTTATCAATGTAATACTTGATTTCAGATAAATTATCCCTTACTGCATCACCGTTGCGATAAATTTGCTTCTGGTTTATTTTTATATAGCCTCATGCGCTTGTTTAGTGCGGCGCAGATCGCGGGGAATGTATACAGCATAAAAAGATCAATACTCAGATGCTAATGGAAACATGGTGAGATAGAACCTTTGCCCTGAGCTGAGATGTGATGTGAGAGATAAATGATACAACTGGATTCCATGTAAGTAAATGTACTACAGCAGCAAAGATAGGATGAAATCAATGGCGGGGGGCACACGATGGAGAGCGTACAAAGCATGCTGGGTGAGCAAAGTGGGTGAGAAACTTCATAATAAAGGGATAGTTTGTCTTCAGCCAGCACGTTGTTTTAGGCAAAACGTAAGTACTGTAGATACATTATCGCAGATTTAACACAGGTATGTATTTAGACAAAAGCAGACAAGGGCGCACTCTCATCGTGCATTACTATGGTACACCACGTATTTATTGTGTAAAAAAAAAAATGGATGTATACTCACAAACAAATGGAAATTAAAAGCAGAATAAGTAGTCCACAACGACAGTCAATGCAATAATGTGCCCTTAATCAGGATAGGCTGACGTGTTTCGGGAGACGAACCCCCTTCCTCAGAGCTGAAATGTATGCCTGCTGGTCCCTAGCCTCTATACCAAAGAATGTCAGGGAAAGGGTAAAAAGACCCTCCCCCCACTCCAATCCCAGAGAAGGCCGACCTGCCCACAAAAGAAAAAAAAAAAAACAATAGTGTATATTAAATGAATGAAAAAAAATGCACAAAATACCAATAAAGTGCATACAATATACACAGATGCCACGTAAGTCACTAACCAAATACACTTCCAAACAAATTGATTAAGGGCACATTATTGCATTGACTGTCATTGCGGACTACTTATTCTGCTTTTAATTTCCATTTGTTTGTGAGTATAAATACGTGGGTGACCACGGTAATGCACGATGAGAGTGCGCCCTTGTCTGCTTTTGTCTATCAGTGTCCAGATTTCCCGATCTTTGAAGGGCAGCACCTCTTCGTTTGGCATTCTGAAATTTCCTTTGGTCTGCACGAGGATTTGAGCGCTGGTTTCGTTTGTTTGTCACAGGTTTGTATTTATTAAAACATTTTTCAAGAAGAATTCCAGGTATGGATATTTTTACAAACAATGGTCAGGTGGGTAAGAATCAGGAGCGGACTGACCATTTGGAAACTCGGGTCAGTAGGGGGCCCCATGAGATGCCCCATGTACCTTTTTCATAGGCTTTTTTGAGTTTGGGCAAGGACACGGGGGCCCCATGATCCCCTATTGTCCGGGGGCCCCATGAGTTGTCAGTCCGCCTCAAGAATCAAATGTCTCTACGGTCTCCGGTATTGCTCCTTTTTGGTATCACCAAACCCAGGAAGGAACTGACCATGAGGAACTCAGCACCATGTCCTCCTTGCTGCCCACTCCAGATAGGGGAAGCTTCAGAGGCCCTCAAAAAGCTCCCCTATGCTGCCTTCCCCATGTTCCAAGATGGAATCACCCAATCGGGGTGTCAGGGGGTACGCCACTGGAGAAGTCCTTAACACAAACGTAATACATAGACAAGAAGAAGGGGCCACCAGCCTAGTGCATTGTCTTGAGACCATTTTATTGTATAGGAAAATAAAATCCAATCTATTCAACAAAGTAAAGAACTGCAATCATAAAGGCAATCCAGTCCCAATGCTGGAACGGGGCCCATCCACACGGGTGTAGCTTACACAAGTGTTTCTCAACCTTTTTTTGGTCAAGACACTCTTTAAAATTATGGACAGTCCCGAGGCACCCTTTAAAATTATGGACAGTCCCGAGGCACCCTTTAAAATTATGGACAGTCCCGAAGCACCCTTTAAAATTATGGGCAGTCCCGAGGCACCCTTTAAAATTATGGACAGTCCCGAGGCACCCTTTAAAATTATGAACAGTACGGAGGCACTCTTTAAAATTATGGACAGTCCTGAGGCACCCTTTAAAATTATGGTTAGTCCCGAGGCACCCTATAAATTATGGACAGTCCCAAAGCACCCTTTAAAATTATGGACAGTCCCGAGGCACCCTCTAAAATTATGGACAGTCCCGAGGCACCCTTTAAAATTATGGACAGTCCCGAGGCACCCTTTAAAATTATGGACAGTCCCGAGGCACCCTCTAAAATTATGGACAGTCCCGAGGCACCCTTTAAAATTATGGGCAGTCGCAAAGCACCCTTTAAAATTATGGACAGTCCTGAGGCACCCCATTCTAAAATGTGAAAAACTATTCTAATCGTTTTATATAACGCAGCAACATCCACACATGTAGGACACCCAACATTAGAGGGGATTTATTCTTCCAAAGCAACTACACTTTTGCACACCAGTACTGACTAGTATTCCATTGTTTCTCCTCTCCCTCAAGTTTTCCCCATCACTGAGCTAATGTGACCCCCAGCACTGATGGAGAGGGGCGGGGGAGGGTCAAACTAGGATGCTGTGCAGGCAACTGACATCCTCCTCATCAACTGATGACGTCATTGGTTGTAGGGATACTGGCGGACAGAAGGTCGCGATGTTGCACAATGAAAACCTGTGACTTTGTGTAACTAAAAGGCAGGATTGATTCACCCGCTGGATTGTATACAATTTTCTAGGAATTTTTAGACATTTTGCCAAGGCACCCCTGAACAGACCTCAAGGCACCTCTGGGCACCCTGGTTGAGAGGCTGGCTTACACGTTTGAAGGGCAATATCCTCTTCATCAGAGCTCCGATGATAGGGGTCTTGCCTTTGAAACGCGTAAGTACACCCGTGTGGATGGGCATTGTCCCATCATTGGGATTGGATGGACTTACTGCTTCACTTTGGTGAATAGATTGGATTATATACCCCTTTACAATAAAATGGTCTCAAGATAATGCTCTAGGCTGGTGGCCCCTTCTTCTTCTTGTCTTTGTTTCAGTATGGATATTATTACATAGTTACGTTGGTCCAGCTTAGCTGATCCCCCTGAAAGCTGGAAGTCACTGTAGTAGGCACCACTACTACACCCTGTCAGGGATCGCGGCGTCCTGTCGGCCAGCGCATGCGCACTGGCGACGGCTCACGCCGGGACACAGGCACTAGGTCCCGGCGAGCCGTGGATGACAGGATGCCGCGCATGCGCAGTGGGACCCGCGGGCACGCCTCGGGCGGCCAATGACAGCCCGGGGGCGCGTTCCGAGTGGCCAATGACAGTGCAGGGCGCAATATTTAAAGATGCCCTGCACTGTCAGTAATCGCCGCAAGGTCTATCTGAGTTCCTGAGTCCTGTACCTGTGTTTTTGACCCTGATTGACCCTGACTACGCTGCCTACTCCTGTGTTGACCCGGATTGTCCTGACTACTCTGCCTTCTCCCATCCTGACCCTCGGCTTGTTTTGACCTCTCTACGGACTGACTTATCCTGCTGACCCTGCGTGTGACCTGACTACTCTCCGCCTGCCGATTCTGTACCTCGCCTACCCCACGGGACCCCCGCTCGTGATCCATCCTGCTAGGTCCTGCCGTCCTCCTCACATCTGGCTCTCCCGGTACCAATACATCCCCGGAGGTTGCCCCTGCCACTGGTGGGCCTGCTCGGAGGTCGTGACCTGGTCCCGGTCTGTTTCAAGTCCATCCCCACCATCAGGGGCCCTGGTGAAAGCACAGACCGGGACTTAGACTCCACGCTTTGGGTAGGTCTGTCAAGTGGGCAGCCAGGGGCACCACCTGGCGGTTTAACTAACACACCCCCTACCACACCCCCACCACACCCCTACCACACCCCTACCACACCCCTACCACACCCCCCACCACACCCCCACCACACTCCTACCACACCCCTACTACAGTGATCTCCACTAGCTTCCAGGTCCCTTTTCGAATGGCTGCCTTCAGAACACAGGAGGTTGGCCACTCAGCACAGAAACTATTCATAGAACATTTAGCACTTTCTCAGTGAATGCAAAACATTTTCTGATTGGACGATGTGGAGAGGCAGGGTAGTGACATCCTCAAACTCGTCCAATCAGAGAATGGGTATAGCTTATGTGTTTCAAGGGCAATACCCTCTTCATCAAAGCTCTGATGAAGAGGGCATTGCCCTTGAAACGTGAAAGCTACACCCATGTGGATGGCCATCGTTCCAGCATTGGGACTGGATTCTCTGATTGGGCGATGTGGAGAGGCAGGGCAGTGACATCACATCCTCACAACTCCAATCAGAGAGCGGGTGTAGCTTACGTGTTTTAAGGGCAATGCCCTATTACACATCACTCTGCGCCCCCTGCATCCCCCATTACACATCACCCTGCGCTCCCTGCATCCCCCATTACACATCACCCTGCGCCCCCTGCATCCCCCATTACACATCACCCTGCGCCCCCTGCATCCCCCATTACACATCACCCTGCGCCCCCTGCATCCCCCATTACACATCACCCTGCGCCCCCTGCATCCCCCATTACACATCACCCTGCGCCCCTGCACCCCCCATTACACATCAACCTGCGCCCCCTGCATCCCCCATTACACATCACCCTGCGCCCCCCTGCACCCCCCATTACACATCACCCTGCGCCCCCTGCATCCCCTATTACACATCACTCTGCGCCCCCTGCATCCCCTATTACACATCACTCTGCGCTCCCTGCATCTCCTATTACACATCACTCTGCTGCACCCCCTGCATCCCCTATTACACATCACTCTGCGCCCCCTGCATCCCCTATTACACATCACTCTGCACTCCCTGCATCCCCTATTACACATCACTCTGCACTCCCTGCATCCCCTATTACACATCACTCTGCACTCCCTGCATCCCCTATTACACATCACTCTGCACTCCCTGCATCCCCTATTACACATCACTCTGCACTCCCTGCATCCCCTATTACACATCACTCTGCACTCCCTGCATCCCCTATTACACATCACTCTGCACTCCCTGCATCCCCTATTACACATCACTCTGCACTCCCTGCATCCCCTATTACACATCACTCTGCACTCCCTGCATCCCCTATTACACATCACTCTGCACTCCCTGCATCCCCTATTACACATCACTCTGCACTCCCTGCATCCCCTATTACACATCTTTCAGTTAAAGTCTTTCTAATTTATTCTTTTCTCTTTTCTTCTATTATTATCTTATTTTCTATTCTATTCTTTTCTAATCTATTCGAAATTTGAATTTTGGAAGATGATTTTATTCTTTCAATTTTATTCTATTCTATTCTTTTGTTTACTTGTATTGTATTCTTTTATATTAGATTCTATTTTATTTTTTTTCTATTCTGTTATTTTCTATTCTATTGTGTTCTATTCTAAACTATTTTATTATTTTCTATTCTATTCTAAACTATATTATTCTATTTGTATATCGAATTTGTTTTATTTGAAATTCGAATTTCAGAAGACAGTTATATTTTTTCTATTCTATTTATTCTATTCTAATCTATTCTATTCAAGCTATATTATTCTATTTGAATTCAAATGTATTTTATTCAAAATTTGAATTTCAGAAGACATTTCTATTCTTTCAATTTTATTCTATTCTATTGTTCTATTTTATTGTATTGTATTGTATTCTTTTATATTAGATTCTATTTTATTATTTTTCTATTCTGTTATTTTCTAGTCTGTTCTGTTCTATTCTAAACTATTTAATTATTTTCTATTCTATTCTAATCTATTCTATACTATATTGTTCTATTTGAATTCAAATTTATTTTATTCGAAATTCGAATTTCGGAAGACAGTTATATTTTTTCTATTCTATTTATTCTATTCTAAACCATATTATTCTATTTTAATTTGAATCTATTTTATTTGAAATTCAAATTTTGGAAGATAGTTATATTTTTTCTATTCTATTCAAATCTATTCTCTCTAAACTATATTATTCTCTCTGAATTTAAATTTATTGTATTCAAATTGTGGAAGACAGTTATATTTTTTCTATTTGATTCTATTATATTGTTTATTCTGTTCTATTATATTGTATTCCATTCTATTCTTTTCTTGCCTATTCTCTGCTGTTCGCACCAAAACGCATCAAAAAACGCACCGAAGCGCACATGTCCCTATTTAAGTTGAAGAAAGAGAAAGGAAAAAATTAACTGGAATGCATAAAAAATGCACGGAAGCGTGTCAATAATGCGTCAAAAACGTGCATGCAAAAAATGCATCTGGAACGCATCTGGACTGTGTTTCTATAGTGCGAACCGGCCCTAAAAAAACGTATAAAGTACAGACCTGAGAAGCCGAGGTATACAAAGTCAAAATAAAATATTTTTTGTTTATGAGGCATTTACTTTATTTGAAATTAGCATTTCGGAAGACAGTTATACTTTTTCTTTTTGATTCTATTCTATTTTATTCTATTCTATTCTTTTCTTGCCTATTCTTTGCTGTTTGCACCAAAACGCATAAAAAAATGCACAGGAACGCACACGTCCCTATTTAAATTGAAGAAAAAGAGAGGAAAAAATGAACTGGAATGCCTAAAAAAATGCACCGGAGCGTGCCAAAAATGTGTCAAAAACGCGCATGCAAAAATGCATTTGGAACGTATCTGGACTGCTTTTCTATAGTGCGCACCGACCCTAAAAAACCGTATAAAGTACAGAAGTGGGAAGTTGAGGCATACAAAGCGAAAATACAATATTTTGTTTATGCGGCCATTTAATGGCGATCCTGGATGAATCCAGAGGGCGAGGCGTTCGCTGAGATGGCTCTCTGATTGTGAGAAAAGGAACGATTGATATCTCCGCCGGCTTTTCTGCTGCAGCAGACTAATCAATTCCAGGCTGGATCCGCGCCTGAGACGTCCCCCGTGATTTTTAGCCTGGTGCGAGCGAATTTCACAGACACTCCCTCTGTCTACTGCTGACAAAATAACTCTTCGTTCAGATGCAGACCGCAGGAAAAAAAAAAAAAGAAAGCAAAAAAAAAAAAAAAAAATCCCATATTCCTCCATGTAGGCGAAAATTGAAGCAGACCGCAAATCACTTCGCCGGAGATCCCGGCCAATCACAAGGCTTTGCAGGTCTCTTACGGGGAAATAAAAACAGTCAAAAAGTCAAACGCCAAGTAAATGGTGAAATACGCACTGAAAGCGCGTGACAAGGTTCTTTCATTTTCAATGGTTTTGCAGATTTGTTCGGGGATCCTATCACACTGCACAGCCAAGTCCTGGACCTTCCTTCACACTACACTGTATGAGGTCCAGGATCCATCACAGCCTGCAACTGACCAATGAGGAGCCAGGGGCACGATGGGGAGGATGACTTTCTTCTCCTGGATCCATCGCAGCCTGCAACTGACCAATGAGGAGCTGGGGGCACGATGGGG